TATATATATGTCAGTGTCTTTGTTTTCACCGTGGGTTGCACTGGGAGTGGTAGATTGGAGTTAACTTGATGGAATTCCAATAACGTATTTTTGGGATTATAAATTTACACTTCTTGGACTGAGACGAGAACCAGGAAGGGACTCCTACAATTCGACACGTAACATGTAGCTTCCAGATAGCAAGAACCAGGAGTCAAAGGCAAGTCTGATTCACTGGCCACGCATACAGGGAGTGGGATGGCCTGTTAGAAGAGCACTCAGGACTTCAGGGCTCAGTGGGATCTGACACAGCCTTCTGAATCTTTTCCTACACAATCTCCTAAATGATGTCACTTCTGCAAATGCAGCCAACTGAATAACCCAATGGTGTTTTTATTTGTGCTCTAATTTGAAAAGCAAAATGAAGAGAATTGGACTGAATTTCTAACATTTTTAAGCATAGGATAAATCCAAGGACTTGCAAGTAGACTAAACTTAGTTACAGTTATAGTTGGGATCTAGCATCAGAAACCACTTTAGAAAGAACTAAGGTGTACATTTTAAAAATTACTATGTCATTATTTGCACTTCTGTTTTTTTTTTTTTTTTTTTCCAGGAGAAATAGCTTTATTTGCACTGAGAGCTGGAGAATCAGGACAACTTGAGAGTATACTGAGCTAAGGATAGAGACCAGCTTCTAAAAGAGCAGTCAGAGCTCATCAATCAAACAGACTGCTGTATTTCCAAGCAGGCTTGCAGTTAGTACAATCAAGAAAAACCTGCAAGGAGCCGGGCGTGATAGCACAGCATGTAATTCCAAGCACTCAGGAGGCTGAGGCGGGAGGATAGATCTGAGTCTGCTAGGAAATATATTTACCACTAAATCACCTCAGTGTGCTACCATTGCAAAAAAGATACAGGTTTTCCATCATAATGAAATTTCCCCCAAACATCCCAATTACAAGTATTTTAACAAGAAATGCATAATGATCCCATTTTACAGATTTTCAGGATTCAGCTCAGAGATCTCACCATCTTCAAATACCACTCCCTGTTACTCTTCAGCTATGGATCTATCAAGCAGCCAGGGAATGGCCTTTGCTAGCCCATGGGGTCCACTTCCCATGTCCCTAGGGGCCAGGGCTGAAGAGCAGGGGAAGGCTCGGGAAGGGGGTGGGGAGGGCTAATTCCGCCCAGCACAGCACGCGGCAGCTGAAGCTTGATGGGAGAGCAGGGCTGGTGAGACTTGAGGGAGGGTCCAGGCCCTGTATTCAGTCAGAGTCACTGCTGGAAGAGGAGGAAGAGGAGGAATGCTTGCCATGCTTGTGGTGTTTGTGTGCCTTTTTATGAGCTTTCTTCATTTTCTTCCGCATCTTCTTGTCCATCACCATCCCTGGGACCACCATGCCAGGGCCCAAAGGGTTCACATGAGGCATGCCAGGGGCAGGTGGGGGACATGGAGGAGGATGGGGACCTGTGGATGGGTATCCTGGACAAGGCTGCGGTGGGGGCACAGGATAACCAGGCCCACATGGAGGGAAAGCTGGATTTCCTGGGGGAGCTCCTGGGGGAGACGGACAGGGGCCAGGAGGAAAGGCTGGATTGACAGATGGTGGATGTGGTGGACACACAGGATAGGAACCTCCTGGGCACCCAGGATTCAGTGGATATGGGTTTGGCCCTTGATGCCCGGCATTGGGATTCCACATGTTCAGGTAGTTCCCCAAGTCTTTCTACCTCTGAACAGGTTCAATCCGTCCTTCTCTGCAGTCTCCGCACTTCTGTTTTTGGCATTAATCACCAACTAAAGTCTTCTGCCTTCTTCAAAAGGATGATTATCAGCTGTGAAGACTTTCAGTGAGTATTTCCACAACAAAAGCAAGCAGGGTCTGGAGCTGTTTCACACAAGACCATGCCTCAGCTAAATCAAAGTCTGATTCAAGAATTTGCTAGCAAGTCCTTCCTGTAGTAGACATTTCCTCTTATTTGGTCTTTAACCACAACTCGTCAATCATCTGAAAGTGTCCCTGGGGCTGGACAAATATGTGTTGAATGACTGCATGAAGGCCAGGTGCTGTCAACCATGGAAATGTATGTAAAAATCCTACCCACCTAGACATATGGAGAATCAGTTTACCCTACAACTGAGTACAGTAAATCACAGTACCTCAAAGCCCTGGGTTGGAATCAGAGAATCTGAGTTCAAATACTGTCTCCATCATTCACAGACTGTGATCTGAGGCAGACTACCTAATCTCCCTGAATCACATCCGCAATCTGAGTGTCAGATTTATTCTTACCTTACTAGACTGGTAAAAAATTAAATAACATGATGACAATTTAGCATCTCACTAAAATAAGAGTTTAGCAAAAGATAGCTGTGATTAAATACTTCATAAAAAGCATAAATTATAAAATTTTATTATGGATGTATTACTTTAATATACATGCGACAACTAAAATATACATGATTAATTATTGTTGTCAAAATAATTATCAACAGATTATTCTGATAACCCATTTAGTTTAAGGCATTCAGTGCCATAGACAGGAGAAAGGAAGAGATAATTATTTAGCTAAAGAAATAAGTGTTTATATAGCCTAGTAAATGGCTTGAAGGGATCTTCCTGTATAACTAGGTAAAAACAACTTAAATTAGCATATCAGTTGTTTCTATGTCAGATAGAATTTATAAGCACATAAAATTTTTTTCTTGAGACTCTGGGTGGCCCACAGGACTCTGGTGAGCTGCAGTCTATGGGCCCAGCATGTGCAATGCAGATTTCTTGGCACCTGGTCTAGTCATTTAAGAACTTCGGAAGACTCTGGGTGGCCCATGGAACTATGGTAAGCTGTGACTCTTGGTCCCCAGTGTGCAGACAGGGAGCTTGTGCTGGTGCTGGTCCAAACTTTTAAGAACTTAGAATGACTCTGGGCGGCCTGAGGGACTCTAGTGAGCTGTGTCCCCTGCCCACAATGCACAGGTGTGGAACTTGTGTCTGCACTGGTCCAACCCTTTAAGAATTTAGGAGCATTCTGGGTGGCCCATGGAATCATGGTGAATTCAGCCCATGGCCACCACCTACACTGAAGTTTTGTTGAGTATCAACCAGTCACCCCCACAAGTAGTGAGAGCCTTGGTGAATCCTACCCTGCTCCCCACTGTAGCAAAAATCTTAATGAGCCATGCCCGAGCACTCGCCCACCAATGGTAAGTCTGAGTAATTATTGGGAGCTTCCAAAATGCCAAAACACCAGGAGCAAATAGCAATCTCAATCCTCCAGCCCACCCAGAACAAATCCGGAGACAGAGACATACAAGAACTTGGAAATCACACAATTGAAATTTCTGAAATGAGAGCAAATGAAGTAAAGAAAAAAGGCCATTAGGCTATAGAAGAAATAAGATCAGAAAAAATCTCTCAGGTCAAAAAAGAAATGACAACAATCATGAAAGTATTGCTCAGCACAGCTAAAGACATAGATTTTTTTTTTTTTAAATAAAGGGCAATAGAAAAATGATGGAAACCCTGAATGAACAATGCAGGAAAGAATTAGAATGCATGAAACAGATTCAAACAGACATCCAGGAAATTAAAAATTCCACTTAATGCTGACAAAACCACTTGAATGAAACTGAAGATACACTTTCAGACCTTAAAGACAGCAGCGCAGCTAATAAACCTGAAAGGAAATATTTCTTGAAACTAACAATGAACCAGGAAATCACAATTCAGCAGCTACAAGATGATGCAAAGAAAAATAATATAAGAATAGTAGTTGTCAATGAAGCAGCATAAAAAATATGATGGCTAGTATAAGAACTCAAAAGAAGAAATACAAATAGAAAGGTATAATACAACTAAAAGAAAAGCAAGAACTTGAGGGCTAGACAATGAAAAGAGAGCAAGGAGCACAGCTAGGAAACATGACAGGGGCAAGCCATACTGTTATATGTTGAAGATGGGTAAGGCAATGATCCTGAGAATCTTCAGAAGATTTTTTAATCTTGCAGTTAGTTGGAATGATTCTCACCCTGACTAAATATACATACAGACACCTGTGAACTAAGCAACTGCACTGAAGATGGCAATTTGTAATAGTAGGTTCATGCTTGGAGTGCCTGTCATTCTGGTCTTATGAATACGGGCTGTTTGTCATGACATGCCAGTTGCTGTTGTGCTGTCTCTTGGGTAGATGATTATTCAAAAAGGGGGTGGTGAATGAAGGCAAGAGATAGGAAAAGGAATATTGTGGGGCTGTCCTGCTTCAAGATTGCATAAGGTGAGATTTCTGGACTTATATGTAAACATAAGAATTATATAATTCTTTATGCCTATTTTAAAAATATATTCTAATTTTTAAATGCCTTTTCATCATATTCTGTAGGGACTTAAAGTTCAACATATCAATACTTGATGTAAAATACCTGTTCCATGTTATGCCTAAGATATTTGATATTCAGACAGATAGTGAGGTTAAGCTTAGCAGCCTAAGTTGTATGGTAATAAAAATAAGCTTGTCTTCTGGATGGTTAACAACCTAAGTTTTCAGACCAAAATTAGGGAAAAAGGAGGGCTTCAAGGAAAGCCAACATTTTGGCCCTAGCCTTCCAAGGTCAATTAAGACTCAGGACATATGAGAACTTGTACTGTAACCTCACGTAACTCAGTAGTGT